CAACACAATCCCACTAACCGTAAACAACAGAGAAGAATGTGACCCAGAGCAGCTGCAGGCCCATTCACCGTCCCCGCTGTGAACAAAAGCATCACACGTCTGCCCTTCCCCGTGAGGCATGAAGTAAAAAGAAGCTCCTGAGAAGTAGAGTAATCCAGGAATATCATCAAGGCCACTGAGAGGAGCTCAACACTTCACGCATCTCCTAATGTATGTGTTTATGGAAATGGCGATAAACAAGCCTGATTTACATGTATCTTCAATATGAGTTTCCCTTGACTTTGCATAATGAATTTTAACCTTCAGCTTTGGGGACATGAAATGTAGATATAAAAGTCAAAGCAGTGGAATAAACGTGCCTTAAGGAAAGGGGAAAACCAAAAATAGCATCCTTGCCAGGAAGATGTGAAGAAGAAAGAGCAAGAGTTCTTTGGATCCCAGCAAGGTGATAATGAGAAAGCAAGTCAAGGTTATGGGAATGACAAAGCAATAGGAGGTCAGACTAGATGATTTCCAAGGTTTCTTCCCAATCAGCAACCTGAGACTCTGTGATATCAAAAGGGAAACCAGTGAGTCAGGGGCCCTTTGCAGTGAGGCGTCAGTGAGCCCTCAGCTCTCATACCTCCTTCCAAGCTCAAGAAGCCAAGCTGAATCTCTGAATCCTTCACTCAGAAAAACAAGCTATGTTAACTCTGCCCGAGGAGCCCAGTCTTCTAGAACTCAAGGCCACTGCTAGACACCTCATGAAAGAGAAATTCAATTGAGGTGTCTGCTCTCTCCAAAAGGAGAGAAAACATTAGCCCAGTTAAATTCAGAATGAGCCAGATTTATTGAGCATCTGTAAGAGCCAGATTCTTACAGATGTTCTGATCAGAACTCTGAATGATGAGTACTCCCTGTGTTTTTTAAATCCTCTATATTGAGGTATAATTTATAGCCAATAAAATGCACCTGTTTTAAGAGCCCAGTTTGGTGTGTTTTAATAAACATAACCACAAACACAGCAAGATAGAAAATATGAGCATCAGCCCATAAAGTTGCCCCCATCCCAGCCCCGGGTGACCGCTGATATGCTTTCTGTCACTGTAACTTATCTGTGCACTTCTAGACTGCCATATACAAACAAAACCATATAGTATGTACACATTAATACCCAGTGTCTTTCACTCAGCCTAGTGTTTTCAAGGTTCACCTTTCTTGTTACATTTATCAGTAGTTCGTGTCTTTTTATTGCTGAGTATATTCCACTGTATACATTGTGCGGATATGCTATAGTTTAGTTATACGTTCACCTGTTGGTGAATCTTTGAGTTGTTTCCAGTTCGAGACTCTAATGAGTTAACATACGATAAATAATCATGAACAAGTAAGCGGTTTGGTGTATCACGTGGGAACTCAAGGGAAAGGTCCAGCACAGAGACGTAACTTTGAGGGTGTCAGCTACTATTTGAGGCCATGGGCGTGGATGAAGCCACCTAAGATGAGAGGGTTGTGGAGAACCTATCTTCTTCTCATGTGAAGATTTGGAGAAGAAAAACAAGATTTTTGTAAGAGACAACTCTGGGTATGTTACGGCATAGAGTAAATTATGGCAGTAGACTAAACGATGGCTGCCAACAGCCGTTCCTCCTGGTGTCCACGTGCTAAAAAGTCTATCAGGGACTTGCTAGCAGGCATTGGCGTATGCCACATGCCCGAAACAATGAAACATGAATTATATATTATCTCCTAACTCAACGGATACTATCATCCCCCTTGACGTGTAAGGCAATGAAGCACAAGAGAAGATAAACAATACACCCCACGTGGTTGGTGTCACTTTGGAGTCTGAAGATGGGGAGCTTTAACCACTGCACTGTACTACGGCCAGTAGAGGGAGTTTGTAGTTGCTACCTGTATTCCACCTAACCGAAAATGTCATTAATCACAGGATACACCATTGTTTATATGTTTCTCCACTGAGAAAGAAAAGTTCCTATTAAAGTTTGTTACACTCACTACTTGGAATTTTTATATACAGTTCTTGAAAGAACTCATTCAGACTTAATTAGATCCAGATTTGTTTCATAGATTAATTTTATAATACAAAAAGGGAAAGTATAAGCAAGATACACCATTAGGATTTTTCTAAAATGTTTTCATGGTTGAGTCCAACTCTTCTGAAACACCGCTCGTCTCAGAGATGCACGTTTTTTTACCCCAAATTGCCCTTCGTACCATCTGAGGTGTCCATGATGCAGCACTTTTTTAAAGGAATCCGCAACCCAACCGAAAGCTGTTACTTCTCAGCTTTTAAGCCTACTTTGCGGTTATGGAGTACCGCTCTACCTTTGATCCTGCCTCAGGAATGTTCATAAATGCAACTGTGTCACCCCCTTTCCCACCTTCTCCCCCGGAAGTTACAAACGCAGCCCTTGGCTTCCAGATTTTTCCAGCCGCGCTTGTTGCCTGTTCCGCCCCAGGCTCACCGATAGCCGCAGCAGCACTGCCCCCTGGCGCTCAGAGGTGGTAGCGCAACACCAGCTGTGGACTACATCCCAGTTTCAGGAATGCAAAACAAACCGTGTCTGCATCGCAGAATTGATGAAATCCAGTGTTCGTGGCAGAAGGAAGGGGGAAATTAGGAAGCCTAGCTCTGCCAGAGCAATGTGAAGGACGAACAGGGTTAAAAACACACAGCGTTGATGTCTCTTTTGCTTTCCCTGACTTCCTGTATCCCCGAAGCAGCCAGCCTTCTTTTGTAAAAGCTGGGCTGAAAGACTACATAGTTTTATTGTTACTTTGATTATCTGCATTTTCCAGTTTTCCTAAATTGAACCTAGATTGTTTGCGTAATATATTAAAAGCAATATTATGTGATTCAATGTTTTCTTGCGTGGTTAATTTTACTAGATCTTATACATGTCCTAACATACACACACATATATTTCCATATATATAACATGCATATTTCCACATATAACACATATATTACCATATATGTAACACATATATT